TCTCTTCGATGGTGTTTAGATATCAGAATTGGTTATTCATAATTTGATAGAGTGATAAGTCTTTCGTCTGCAATCCTATTTTCACCGACGTTATCTATTGCATCGTTTAAATTCGTACAATAACTTTGCGATTTTTGAATTTTAAAATAACCCTAAAAATTGTTGTATATTATTAATTTAACTTATTTATTAACTAATTTATTACATGAATATTTCGATCTGTGCTTTTTCCATGATAATATAGTTTCGAATTAGAAAATAATTATTCTAACAATTAAAAATAGCCTAAATTCTATGTAGTAAGAGTAAAATGTTTTAAATTGCGTATCAATTTATTTTACACGTTACATTAACTGACACAGTGTTAGTATAAACGAATTATTAATTGTATTGGAATTAGAATGGCATTTCTTTGCGATTTATAACTTGGCAACTGTAACAAGAAAATCAATCTTGGTTTTGGCAAAAATGGTCCAACATGCAGATGGAAGGTTAATATCCTAAGTCATAACTTCTGAATTTTTGTAATATTTAATAAATTGTTTTGGCTTTGTATACTTTTCAATGGTCGCTGTGCTTGCCGTATCAAAGAATTTTGTAGAATAAAAATGGAAAACAGATGTAAACATTTTGAAATCAAAATTAAATCGCTCTCTGAAAGTTAATGGAGGTGTTATCAAGATATATGTTATTTCATGCTATTTTTCACGTTATTTCACGCGGAGAGACAAATGAAAAGCTGGACGAGTGAAAATCAGCTTTTAATCCCATACGCGATTCCGAAGAAAAAATCTATTAAAAAGATATTCCAAGCAATGTCCTGCAAGTGTTGATCAATCCTGTGTTTAATACCTCTTTTCGTCCACAAATATGTCTTCTTGTTGGTCTGTAAAAATTCTGGCTGTTAAGGAGTTGCGAGATATTGTTGTTTATTGGTCTGAATGACATTGACATTTTCTCAATTGCTCGTTTATGCGCCCCCCTGTGACCCTGCCCCTTCCTAGGCGACGATGCTGAAGAAGACCAAGGGTAAAATGAAACGGCGTAATACAGAGTCCAGCATGCAGCTGGCCCTTCAGGCCGCGCCTTCGAATGAACCGGACTCGGAAGTCTTCTGAGAGAGCGAACGTTCCCCGCGCAGGCGAAACGAAAACGCCGCGCGGGGAAGAGAAGCGGAAAACCAGCGGCGGCGCCGCGGTAACTCTGTCACACGCAGCAAGCCGGGCCAGTCACGGAAATCCTCCGTCTGAAATCACGGCAACGTGGCCGACGCGAACGACGCCGTTAAGTGCTATTCTCCTTTCCGTCCCGCGGAAACACCGGAAAACCAGAGAACTCGACGTATGAAATCTCACCGATGACAACACGACACACCCACCCACGCCACCAGAGAATATACAAGAGCTGCTTCAGGAATGCCAGGACAATGAACTATGAACACGACGATTAAAATCAAGTTTCGAACGAGAAGAAACTATTATACATATACATATACCCGTCGCCACAAGGATGAACACGCTCGAATAAGGCCACATCATTTACGAACTCAGAGTAATACTTTAAATGTCCTCCTTCAGAGTTGCAGGATGAAAAAACGTAGATCTCATTTTTAAATGTTAATAACCATTATGTAGCATCGTACGTAGCCTTGATCAATATTTTTTTAGTAAAGACGACGAAGTGTAGAATGACAAAGACAAGAGAGAGAGAGAGAGAGAGAGAGAGAGAGAGAGAGAGAGGGAGTTTGAGAAACGAACAATCGTGATACGACGAGGTATTAACCGCGCACATGTGACATTACCAGGGAAAAGAGCAGTATTGAGCAAACGTTTTTCCTCCTGTTTATTCGCTTGACAACAGTACTTTTGCATTTATCATTTCTTTTTCTAGTCTGTTTCACTTGCCATCTACGACCCCTTGTACTAAGACCCGCCCTCCTCCTCCTCCTCCTCCCCGTCACCCCCTTCCCGGCCGTTCCAACGAAATCTTGGATGAACAGGAAGTGAACCGTTGTACATGACGTTTCGTATGGTATTTTACTAATCCACCGTAAGTATCGTGGCACGATAAAGATCAGTTGTTATTAATATAATACATAATATTTATGATTAAATATTAATATATTTACAAAAGAGTAATGTATTAGTATTACGGTTTTAAGTTGTGATAACTGTTGTGCGTCTGACTGCTGGGCAGTCTGGAATTTCTAACAAAAAAAAAGAACAAATACCAGTGGCAGTCAGTCATTTCATAGAATACGAGAAAAACGAAAAAAAAAGTATGTAACGAACGAAAACTATTAAAGAAGAGCAAGCAAATGTAATTGCCTTCGGCGAGGGTAAATCGACGGCGAAGCGCTTTGTCAACTAGTCTCTCGATGGGACGCGGCAGGACGAAATCTCGGGACGCGAGTTAAACGAATTGATTGTTCTATTCTCGGCGAAACGAGAGAACCAGAAACGACTTGGCAGTGTTCTTTTTACCGTCCGGCCGATTCTGACGACGTACTTCCGGTCGAAGGGAAACTCGCGGGAGCGAACGGTAGGCAAACACATTCCACTGTAACGTGGTCGAGAACAAATAGGACATGTACATTTCTAAAGTATGCCAAAAGAACTTACTAACGTGCTATCACTTTCACGCTGTTTGAGCACACCTCTCGGTGGGGCATCTGGGTTTCCGATCGAGCATCAACGAAAACGCACGTGGACGTTAGGGCGGTGTCGATTATCGTCGTGGCATCGCGAGCACAGAGAAAAAGCGAGAGTGAGAGAAAGAAAGAGATGGTTGTTCGATCGGTTTAACGGAGAGTGAATAAACGCACTGTCGTGGCTTTTTAGCCGTGGATCGTGTTCATACCATGGACCCTTCGTTGGCATCATTCGATTAAGAGACAATTCCGGTGCCAAACAGTTGTACATAATACTGTAAATGTGGGAGATTAAAGAAAAAAAAGTCGCGAGAGAGCAAAAGAGAGAGAGAGAGAGAGAGAGAGAGAGAAAATGTTATTTGAACGGCGAGGAATGAACGAGAGACGGTGTTACATGCCGGATATTGAACGATCGTCCCCGACGTATAGCGAAACGATACGCGCGGGCTAGGCGAACGGATGAAAGCGTGTTGTGTTGTGTATACGTGTCGCGCGTATTTCAGTTGAACGGAGTGAGAAAGAGAGGAATCGATGCCTTCGAACGCGTAGACAAAAATTGTAAGAACGAAGCGAATAAAACGGGATAAGCGGATTAAGCAGGATATAAGCGGGAGAATGTGTCAAACTGGAACGGGATATGGTTACGCGTCTTCTTTCACTTGATTTTGTGTTCCAGAGAATGCTTGTAGAGTATAAAAGCCACCTCCCGTGCACCCTCTAGCTAACCTCTCGTAGATGTCTACCGAGTGTCTTTTCACAAAGAACGCGGACTCAGGCGGAAGAACGCGACTCCGTCGGTAAACGAGATTGGTTCGACGAGAGGCCGCCGGTTTCCGGATAATCGATCTGGCCTCCCCGATTCTAATCACAACCTGCCAATGATGCATGGGCTCAGTTGTTCGTCCTCGGCATCCGGCGTGCGCGCGAGTACAAATGACGTATCGGCGGCAGATTGGCGAAAACCGTATTTCTTCAGTTTTCGATTTTCTTTCGGGTTTCTCTTTCTTTCCTCTTCCTTTTCTCTTCCTTTTCTTCCGTTCGATCCGACCGGGAAAGTTACAGCGTACATATTTCGCTGTTGTTACGAACGAAACTAAAAAAAAAAAGGGATAGAGAGAGAGAGAGAGAGACACCACACTAAGCTAACGGAACAATTTACGTATAATGAATGTATGTGCTATAAAAGAACAAAAAATATGTCTGAACAAAAGCTAGCTGTTACGACTGAATTCGTTTTCCTGTCCTATCGACGACACGCTCTAGCCACTACACACGGACATAACCACAGATGGAACCGCTCGTCGCGAGTTCGATCTGCTTTCTTTTTCCACGACGTGCTGAATCACGTTCGCATCGTACCTTTGCAGTACACCGTTACGTATTATTTTCTATCGATTTAAACGAGCGCGCGCACGAGAGAGAAAAAGAAAGAGAGAGAGAGAAAGAGAACACTGTAATATTATGGGACCGGATGTGGACACGTTCTGAAATGAAATTTTGTTTTCTTCGGGTATCTTAATTTTAATGTCCAGATTATATATACGTATTATAATGACTGTACGAGAATAAATTTGTTGTATTATGTTGATACACAGTGGTGGTAATACGTCGTACAAATGAACCGCTTAGCGTAAATGAACTTTTTGTTCCGGATATTTCCTCTTCTGGTTTCGATGCACAGCACGTTACTGTATCGCGGACGATGAGATTTCTCGTTGGAATCATGTCTTGGCGTGTATTATGGAAAGATTGAAATATTAAGTAAATTAATGTACACATTACCTTCGCAGTTTTCATGCTTTCGACACGTGATTTCATTGCGTAAGTATTATCCCTTCTCCTAAACGCATCTTTATGTTATTGAAGAGGTTATTGCAATGAAAAGGTCAACCTTGACATAACCTTCACATAATTTTGATTTTTGGTTATTTGAATAATAAGTACAATTTAGGTCGAATTTTGAAAAAAAAATTAATATCTGGTCGTATTGATATAAATGTAGCCATCGTTTATGGTATGTTATCGACATTTATATATGTCCAAAATCGAATATTTAATCTTGGATTGCTCTTTAAATGTGCTTCTCTGCGCAACTAATAATTCTGGAAATATCCTTTTGCCCGCCCATAATAGATATAACGCAATTTGAGTTGAATAAACTGTAAAATCGTAATTAATAAACTGTTTAATTAAGAAAAAATGATGAATCGATAAACCGTTAAATTGAATTCTAACGAAAGAATAAAATCAGATCTTCAAATAGCAAATAGTAAGCGCGTTACTTCAAATAAGTTACAAAATCGTAAATATCCGTTACAAAAATTTTGAAATAGGTTACATTAGATGTACAACTTTGCTCCTGCCGTTTTCCAATAGATGGCTTTGGCGATAAGTGGTGGTTGAAATAAATGAACCATAGATGTCGTCAATTAGGGAGAATTTACTGTAATGCCATAGCAGGGTAATGCTGGAGCAGAGCTTTTTTAAGAAATGGCTTCAAGAAAACTTTCTTTGAAATGGCTTTACCAACACAATGAAATATAAGATTTTAAAAAAATTATAGGGGAATAAATAAGAAAGTTTGTCCTTTTTGAAGTATCAACCTAATTTGCTTTTCTAATCAAAACATTAAAAATGAACCTTAGCACTTTACCGGCCGCTGGTACAACAGTTGTGTCACGGCACAAACCGTGCCTACACGAATTAATTCAAACGGCAAAGTACTACCGGTAGCGTAGAGAGTGACATTAAAGTGATAAATCATCTTTTAAACAATGTTCTATTTTAACTAAACATCACCAAAAATCCTTTTCGCAAACATTATTTTTATCTAAAATGTATTTGTTTTCAGAATTTCAGAGAAATCGAAGCATAACATTTTTGGAAATTACAGGGAATAACACTGGAATATGGTGAAAACTTTTCTCATAAAATTTTGGATCTTAAACTTGAGTCGCGGACAATCATCCTGATACATTATGCAAATATTTACTTTTAATTTATTTGGAAACCGTTTAAAAATTCAATGACATCATACAATAAAGAACATTTATTATTGTACGGATATCATCAAAATGAATTATAATATAGATTTTATCTTAAATTGGATA